TCCATCACCCACAACGTCCAGTGCCATGTCCATAGGACATACTTACATCATGATATAGCTTCTGGCCACACACCTTTGGGTCATGGTGCCTTAGTGAATTGGCACAGTGGTCAGTGGGAGTGCTGCTAGAAGCTATTCCCACAGCAGAACACCTGCTAATACCTTAAAGATAAATGGAAGTAGCTGCAAATTTTGCAAAAATATATGATCACATGAACATATTGCTAGAAGCCCTCCTGGGACTTAAAGAAGAACCTCTGTAAGTGAGGGGTCCAGAGTTTTTGGCTTCTTTGCCTTCTCAGAAAATCAGCCTCCAGGGGCTAGGAGTCTTTGGAAGTTCTGTTTTAGTTTTTCAGTTTTTAAGGTGAAATAGCAATCAAGATTATCAGCTAGGCATGAGAATGGGGACTGAGGTGGGTGAGTTGTGAGAAAAATAATATACGAATAGGCAGCTGTGAGAGTGGAAAAGCGAATAGACTCGGGAAATATAATTGTTTCCAGCATTAGGACCAACTTGAAGTTCACAGGAAGGAATTTACAGAGAGGCCAGTAGGCATGGTGGTGTATTGTGGTCCAGCCATGTTTAGCCATGTGAGTGTAGAAAGAGTGGGTGGAGAATTAGATTTGAGCAGGGGTGTCATTTATCAAGTTGATATTAGGAAGTGAGGAGGTATTTGCAAGAGAGTGATTATAATGGCGCACCGTGGATTTTAACCTTTGTAAAAAGAGCAGAGAGGACATTGGTGATGGACATTTAGTGGAAAATGGTAGAATCCATAGAGTGAGAGGCTCAGTGTGTCAAAGTATTGTTGGCATCAAGGACCATGAGGGAGTAAACTGGAAAGATACAAAGTGGTAATCAGAGATAGAATGCATGGAACTGAAATATGGATGGGTTGTAGTTAAGGGCAATGACAAAATCGATAGAATGATCAACCATCAGCCTGAATGGCTAGAGTATTGAGGATTGGTTCACTAGGAGAGAAATTCAAGGACCTGAAAGGACAGGATGTTGAAAGGATCATTTATGCATATACCAAAAT